CACCACATAAGTAAAAAAGAAAAAAGCTGGAAGTGGCGCTGTGGCTCAAGTGGTAGAGCGCTAGCCTTGAGCTGAAGAGCTGAGGGACAGCGTCCAGGCCCAGAGTTCAGGCCCCACGACTGGACCCCCCCCAAAAAAAAATTAAAATTAAAAAGTCAGGGAAAAAATAACAGAAATACAGGAAGAAATGCCTGCTGGGTTATATCACTGAATATAGATTGCCTTGGAAAAGATTCCAGAAAGTTCACTTGCTTTGCAGTTAACAATCACCGTCAAATCATTCCCATGCCCTCCCCCTCCCTCATGGCTCCCTTTTTTAAAATGAATTAAAATAAACTTCAAGTACAGCTCTGTTCAGATACAGTGAGCTCTTACTTGAGAGATAGCAATTTCATCTTCTTTTGTTCTGTATTTTTTTTTTTTACTAAAACAGTTATTAAGTATATAAGACAGAGAAGACAGGCTCTGGTGGTTTTCTGCGAGTTTAATGGCAGGTGATTGAGGGGGAGAGGGAAGATGGTAGGGTAGAATTGAGCAGAAAAGGCCCCGTCACCTACTCTCATCTTTGCATCCATCTCCCTCCCTCCGAGCCTCCCTCCCTCCTTCCTTCTTCCCTCCTTTCCTTCTTTCCTCTTTTTCTTTCTTTCTTCTTTTTTTGTCAGTCTGAGGGCTGTAACTCAGGATCTGGGCACTGTCTCTGAATACTTTGTTCAAGGCTAGCACTCTACTACTTAAGCCACAACTCCACTTCCAGCAATTTCTTTCTTTCTTTTTTTTGGTTGGTTGTGGGGCTTGAACTCTGGGCCTGGGCGCTGTCCCTCAGCTCTTCAGCTCAAGGCGAGCGCTCTACCACTTGAGCCACAGCCCCACTTCCTGTTTTCTGGGTGGTTTATTGGAGATAAGAGTCTCACGGACTTTCCTGCCTGGGCTGGCTTTGAACCTCCATCCTCAGATTTCAGCCTCCTGAGTAGCTAGGATGACAGGCATGAGCCACCAGCGCCCAGCTTTCCAGCTTTTATGTGTGTGATTAATTGGAGTTAAGAGTCTCACAGACTTTTCCTGCCCTGGCTGGCTTCAAACCTTGATCCTTATTCAGATCTCAGCCTCCTGAGTAGCTAAGATTTCAGGTGTGAGCCATCTGGGCCTCTCCCTCGCCCTCCATCTTCTTTCTTCTCTCTTCCTCCTCCTTCCTTCCCTTTCCTTCTCTCTTCCTCCCTCCTCCTCCTCCCTCCTCGTCCTCTTCCTCCTCCTCCTCCTCCTCCTCCTCCACCTTCCTCCTCATTCTCCTCTTCCTTTCCCTTTCTCCCTCCTCCTCCTCCTTCCCCCCACCTCTCTTTCTCTCCCATTTGGAACAAGACTTACAATACAGATCTCCCTTTGCAAGCATGCTGGGTGACTGGCTTAGGGCGCCCCCTTGGCTGTCAGGGAGGCCTGGGCTTATGGCGCCTCGTGTGGTGTAAGTGAAGAATCATGCTGCGAACTATGGTTTGCTCTCAAGGAAGCCTGGATGTAGGGAACCCTCTTGTGGTGCAATATTGAAGAACCATCCTCGTTTCCCGGAGGCCTGGGCGTAGGACGCCCCCTAGTGCTCAAATGGCAGCTGTGACCACAGGCTCAGAAATTCACCAGAAATGTTCAGGACAACGCTGAGAAATACATTACTTTATCTAAGAAAAGTACCAAATCCTGCCAGGTACCAGTGGCTCACGCCTGTCATCACCAGAAAAAAACAGAAGTCTAGACCTGTGGCTCCAAGTGGCTTGCCTTCAACATAAAAGCTCAGGGACCCTGCGTTTGTGGGTACAGGTGGCTCAGCACTTCAGAGCCCGAGGAGAGAAGAGAATGGGTTATAGGAATAATTTAGAGGTCACGTGATCTATGCGACCTTAGTCCCTCTGTGTCTTTAATATTTGTGCCATATTAAGGCTTGAACTCAGGACCTGGGTCTTGTCCCTTAGATTGTTCACTCAAGGCTGCCACTCTACCACTTGAACCACAGCTCCACTTCTGGTGTTTGGGCGGTTCATTGGCGGTGCAGAATCGCACAGACTTTCCTGCCTGGGCTGGCTTTGAACCGTGATCCTCAGATCTCAGCCTCCTGGAGGAGCTAGGATTTCAGGTGTGATCCACCGGCGCCCGGTGGCCAGACATTTTCTGAATGCTCACAAGGGGTCAGTATTTCCCTCCAGTGAGCAATCCTCTGTCGTTCTGCCTCTTTATGAAAGTAATGATGTTATTCCACTAGAGGGCAGTAGTGAACAGCAAACGTCACTGGCTTTTTTTTTTTTAATTTTTATTTTTTGGTGCTGGTCCTGGGGCTTGAACTCAGGGCCTGGACACTGTCCCTGAGCTTTATCTACTCAAGGCTAGTGCTTTACTACTTGAGCCACAGTTCTAATTTTATTTTCTTTGGGGGGGAGGGGCACCGTTCATTGGACATAAGAGTCTCACAGACTTTTCCTGCCTGGGCTGGCTTTGAACTATGATCCTTCCATCTCAGCCTCCTAACTAGGGTTACAGGCGATTTCGTCCCTGAGATCTTTAAACTGAAACTGCCTGGGGAAAATTTGGGGACGGCTGAGGTCCAGTGTCTTCTTTAACAATAGAGAAATTTGCCTGCATCAGTAGCTCGTACCTGTCATCCTAGTCACTCAAGAGGCTGAGATCTGAGGATCCTGGTTCAAAGCCAACTAGGATACCAGGATAGCTGGGTGCTGGTGGCTCACACCTGTAATCCTAGCTACTCAGGAGGCTGAGATCTGAGGATCAAGGTTCAAAGCCAGCCTGGGCAGGAAAGTCTGTGAGACTCTTTATCTCC